ACACAGGGGAGAAGCCATATAAATGCCTGAAGTGTGGAAAATGCTTTAGTCACAAGGTAAGACTTACTTACCATGACAGAATTCATACAGGTGAGAAACCATATAAATGTCTTGAGTGTGGAAAAAGCTTTCGAAAGAAGAATGTATTAACTTTCCATCAAAGAATTCACACAGGGGAGAACCCATTTAAATGCCTGGAGTGTGGAAAAGGCTTCTTTCACAAGAGCAGCCTTACTGCCCATCAAAGAATTCACACAGGGGATACACCATATATATGCCTGGAATGTGGAAAAAACTTTCCACGGAAGGATGCTCTAACTTTCCATCAAAGAATTCACACAGGGGAGAAACCATATAAATGCCTGGAGTGTGGAAAAGGCTTTTGTCATAAGAGAAGCCTTACATACCATGAAAGAATGCACACAGGGGAGAAGCCATATATATGCCAGGAATGTGGAAAAAACTTTACACGGAAGGATATTCTAACTTTTCATCAAAGAATTCACACAGGAGAAAAACCATACGAATGTCTGGAGTGTGGAAAAGTCTTCAGTCATAAAGTAAGCCTTACTGTCCATCAAAGAATTCACACAGGGGAGAAACCATATAAATGCCTGGAGTGTGGGAAAAGCTTTCGAAGGAAGTATGATCTAACTTCCCATGAAAGAATTCACACAGGGGAGAAACCATATAAATGCCTGGAGTGTGGAAAAGGCTTCAGTTACAAGAGTAGCATTACGTACCATGAAAGAATTCACACAGGAGAAGCAATATAAATGCATGAAATGCTGAAAAAGCTTTGGACAGAAGGATAAACTGAATTCCCATCAAAGAATTCACGCTGGGGAGAAAGCATAGAAATGTCGAGTGTGGGAACGCATTCCATCAGAGGAAAATAGATTGAGAAATTAGAAAGCAACCTGGTTTCCATCATAAGAATACCGTCTTAAACGGTTCTATTTCAGTAGGAAAGTGAAAGATTCCTGTAGCTATCTGAAGAAGTGAGTTGTGATTCACGAAAGCTCATACCCTGCCACAAATTTTCTTAGTCTTTCAAGCGCTACTGGGCTTCTGCTCCTTTTTACTGCCGTAGACAGACTTAACATGGCTACCCATTGCATTCTCTTTTACACCTGTGGAATGCTAGAATTGTGGGAGTTTTTCTCTTCTTGGTGTGCAGGACATTCCCCCAAGTGGAAGCCACATGAGCAAATCGTTCTGTATGTGTTGCTATCAGTTTCACTCATTATCCTTCCACAGATGAGTACAGCAGTTATAATAGATCGTATCGAGAGAAGCAGTCCTGTAGTTATGTAGACCTCGCACCCGGAAAGACTTTGTCAGTAATGCCCAGCACCTTGACATAAACTGAAAAATTGAACAATCTCTGAAGGAGCATCTCATATACGTGTCACCCCGAATAGTAATCAAGCTGCGACATTCTGTACCAGTCGGAGATTCTGACTTCAAGGGTGGACCCATGTAGAGTGTATTACAGTAGACTGGCCGCCTGGTTACTTTGGCTTCTATTTTCATTGTGTTTATTGATTCTGTTCTGAGCATTTGCGCCTCTAGTATTCCCTGTAGTCTGAGGAGAATCAAGTGTTGCAGTTCAATAAATTGTATACTTAGTTAAATTATTGGATCTGAGTTTCTTACTGGTTCAGTATGGCCCATTGGGGTTAAATGTCAGAACCCACAGCCAACAACGTAGTACACGCTTATCAGGAAAGATAATACTTTATTGAAGAGCTATAGATGCATCAACATAGGCACTGTCAAGAATGGCGGCTGCCACTTGGGCATAATAGAATATAGGGTATTCGTATGCACACACCCCCACTGCCCTGGCCAATTAGCCCCACTCCCGTTAGCGTTGAAGCTGGGAACCAGCTCGCTCCCATTGTTCCCTTAAAACTAGACATCAACATCCC